GTGGAGTCTGTTCACAAACCCTGCCATGTAACCCTTCTTTGTGACCCTTTCCTCCTGGGTCACTCCCCCCTTTCCTGATTTCCTGGGTGAGGGCTACAGCCAACAATTTTTCTTTTTTATTTTTTTTCCCTGTAAACATTCCAGTTTTACTCTGAAGCTTATCTTATGCCCCCACATATACAATAACAGATTCCTAGCGGAAACCCAACATACTATAACCCACAATACTGTATTATATTAATAATATATATATAATCGGGCACTCAAACCCCTTTCCACCACCATTTGAACCATTTCAGGGAACTTGCACCAGGGCAGTGGAGGTCCGATTGCGACAGGTCTCCCAGGCCATTCATTACTTTTCCCAAATCATACTGGTCTTCCCCCTTAAGCTTTTGTACCTTTTTCCTTATATCTTCCATGGACTGACCTTTTATTAACTAGCCTAATTCTCTCCTTCGTTCCTCTGATTCAGGATCAGTAGTAGTATATTTACGCATTGCCTCTTATAATCTTTCCATGAATCCAGAAAGCGATTAATTCATATCTTGCCTTATTTCACACAGCTTAGACAAGTTCTCTGCCTTGGGGACCACATTCTTAATACCGAATGAAATCCACCTCCGATATTGTTTCAAAGCCTGCCTATCCTGTTCCCAATTAGGATCCCAGTTAGGATCAGCAGCAGGTATGTGAAGATTCACTATACCTGCCAATGTGCCTGCCATTATTTGTTGCTCTACTGTGGTCCAAGACATATGAATAATCACATTCCTGTCAACACACTCAAAAACATGATGCATAATTACCAGCCACTTGTTTCCAAATATTCAAATCTATAATGGTAAAGGGAGTCTTTATCGTGACTAGACCATCACTGCCCACAGTTTCCCCTTGTTTTCCCCTAGTTTGCCCTGCTATAGGGCTAAATCCTTCAGCTCTCTTTAACATCTCTGGTGCCTGTGCTTGTGCTTGATTCTCATTGTCAGCACCTTCAGCCCCGTTACGCACAATACCTCTTCTCTGGGGCGCTACCATCAAATCCAAATCCTCCTCCACATTCCTCAAATGTTCAGTACATAACTGTCCTATGCTGCACAAAGAGCAACAGCGTTTAAATGAATTTTACTACCTTTCTCCAAGGACAATACTAACAGGTCCTGGGGTGCAAGATTAAAACTACTATCCTTTCGCCATTCCAGATGATTTCTCAAGTGAAAAAACATTTCTGCATAAGCTACTTCATTACACTTTTCTTCTCGTCTCAAGAATAACATCAATTGTATTATAATTAACTATAATTAACATAATTGTATTATAATTAAGCGTACTGATCACAGGCCACTTTCCCCCCAAATCCAGTTTGTACAACGGCCACCACTCCAAATTGAGTCTTACAGAGTTTCTCCGACTGACTTTTACAGTAACATTAGGAGCTGTGCAGCCCCTAATAGCCAAACATGACTGAAGTGGAGCCACACGCCTTAGTGGCTCTCCTTCTTGACCTTTCCCCCACCCG